AAGTGCGAGACACATGATGATGACGTGTAGAATTTTTTGAGTGTAGGAATGTGTGCAACTTACCTTGTGAAGAGCTGGTCCCTGAGTACTGCGGACTCACTCAAGCTGCTTGTCACTTGGGAGCCAGTGTGAACTGTCAAACGGGAGCCAAACATTCAGAAGCAGCAAATGCAGTTACTGTTTTTATCTACCGTCAAGCATTGTAATCTCATAAAAATGATCTATATTTTTTCATAACACATTCTTAATTTTAAACTCAAAGATAAAAACCAACAGGCTTAGTGATGAAAGTATAAAAACCAGCATAGTTTTTATGAGGCAGCTGAGTTTTCAATTACAGTAAAACATACTTTGGCGAAACAAACTTTGATAGAGTCATGGAGGCTCGAGCACTCCTGGCTCAGAGCTTTATGGCGGGAATCAACAAAGAAAGAGCAAACCAATTTTAAACTTGAGAAAATTTTCAAGCAGTTTTCCATTGGCTTGCAAAATAAAATTGGTCGACTCCGCAGTACCCAGGCTGGTCCGAAAGAGAGTGGAGAGTTGCCCGTGTGTGTTTATGAAGCGTTGCCACAGATACCTCTGTTTACCAGCATTGAACTGCTGCGCTTAAGTGAACCCTACACGATTGCTTTTATTGACAATAATCGTATTGTCAATACATGCTATATTGACGTCAATATATCGAGATTGACAATATTTCTGAATTCACATCATCAATATTATAGTCAATAATTCCCCTTCGCGTCAATATATTGATGCGTGTGGGGTTTGCTTTACAACGGAGGGCTGCACACATGGCTTGCTGACTCGTTAAGCGTCAAGTTAAGACCTGCTTACACTAGCGCTAATATATGCCACACATGTCCCTCTCTCCTCATAAAAAAAAGAATTTTACCCGGTTTTCCTTTTCAGCCGTGAATGCACCATTGCTCAGACATCATTATCATCATCATGAAGATCAATGGGAGCACTGTTAAGGATGTTAGGAATCTCGTTCAAAAATCGAAATGGATGATTTTTCAATTAATCTCATAGTTGCTCGGAGAAAAACTGACCCGATTGGATGCTGGGACTTCTGGGGCGCAATGTGGGATGTTTGCCGTATAACAAAATGTTTTTCTCCCTTTTTATGGCACAGACCTGTTGGTCCATATTATAACAAAATGTTGGTAGACTGTGTACTAGTGAACTGAAGCCGTTGTGTCACGAAAATGAAAAGTGGACGCAGGCCTTGTTTTCTCTGCTGAGATCCCTCTAGTTGGAGCAGCTAGAGTGTGTTTCGTGGTTGATGGGGGTTTACGCTGCTGTGAGGAACGAAAGGCGAGAGTGCTGTTTTTAACACCTGTTGAAGATATAGTGGCAGCATATCTATGGAGCTCTTAGAAATCTTCGTGATTAACGTGATATCATGGATTTCTTGGTAACATACCGGGTGATATCATTCCTTTATTTTTTCTTAACTTTCATTCCATTGTTATATTAAACATTAAATGTTGTGGACAGGACGGACCACCAGGGCACCCGATTGACGCGAAATGGATGGGGAGAGTCGAAATGCCAACTCCCTGTCGTTTACATTTCGTGAAAAGAAGGTGGGCTCTTCTCCCCCACTCATTGGGACATCCTCCTGTTGGATGGCCTGTGTTTTGACCGGTTGTATGATCCTGTTGTTGGAAGGAGATTCTCATTTATTCCGTGGATGCAACCCTAATAAAAATTGTATGGTTAATTTGCTTAACGACGTGTTCTGGGTATCATCCAAACCATTTGTGGAATAGTTCAATGATTTGGGTTATCGTTCGTTTATGGTTATTTTTTATTAGGGAAGTGGGCGATGTTGCGCACGGATTCACCCAAACCGTTTTTGGCCCTTCATACAATGGCAGGTTGAATACAATTAGAAGCTTCGGCATTCTTCAGTTGCTAGATGGACGAAGGCAGTGCAAAGCGGCTGCTTTTCAACTTCGTCAGCTGACCAGCTTCACGGTGGATCTTCTGCGAGGACACCGGTGTGGAGAACATTGAGTTGGCCAGATGGTCGTTCACCAGCATTTTGTCGTTGGATAGCGAACGGACCTTCAAGGCACCCTTGATTCCCACCCCCGGTTGCATTCCGTTTTTTTTTTTTTTTTTTAGTGCTACTGTCCATTACGTCAATTTCCTGTGTCAAACGGTCCTGTTGGTGCATCCGTACTGATATGCATTAGATAATGCTGGTAAAATGTAAAGTATGCGTTATTTTTTTGTTTTGTAATAGGGATCGTGGCGTCATTTTCAAGCAATTGAGGCCAATTGATTTTTTTTTTTGCAAATCGTCGCTTTGAAACGATTAAGGCTTTTTATTTTATTTTTTGGCATCGTTTTGAAACGATTGAGGCAGATTTAGCAGTTTATTTATTTGAGTTTTTTTCACGGTGGCATCGTTTTGAAACGATTTGAGCAGATTTTGTGTGTTCTGTAATGGCGTCGTTTGGAAACGATTAAGGCAGGCTTGGTAGTTTTTTTTTTTCGCAATGGCGTCGTCTTAAGACGAATAAGGCAGATTTGGCGTCGTTTATAAACGAATCAACCGGATCTAGCAGTTTCCATTATTTTTTTTTGCGGTGCGTGAAGGCTACGGTTATTCTAAACCGATTGATATAAGCGTGGCCTCTTTATGATAGAAAACCAAATGAGCTTATGGAACATTCCATATGGCTTAGTTAAATCTGGCAGGATCGCCAATGTGCAACTTACCTTGTGAAGAGCTGGTCCGAAAGAGAGTGGAGAGTTGCCCGTGTGTGTTTATGAAGCGTTGCCATAGATACCTCTGTTTACCAGCATTGAACTGCTGCGCTTACAACGGAGGGCTGCACACATGGCTTTCTGACTCGTTAAGCGTCAAGTTAAGACCTGCTTACACTAGCGCTAATATATGCCACACAGAATGTTCTACCCGTGCGGGATCACACACACTGTTGCGAGATAGCACTTTCATTTCCAAACAGAAGTGAAAGAGCATTTTTAGATCATAGGCAAAAGAACGTAAGAATTCCATAAGAACCACTTATGAATTTAAGCCACAAGAAATCCGTATGATTTTCATTAATTTGCCTTATGAAAAATAATGTTGACAAAAAAATTATAAAATGGAGCGGACTGGAAACCGAACCATGAACGTTGAGATTACGGGGCCCGTGTGTTGTCCACTCGTCTTTAAACGCTTGGAAAAATGAAATGGTTAAAGGCGTATGAGAGCTATCTAATGTTTGATGAAAATCATTCATAAGTTATACTAATGAAATTCATACACTGAGGCAAATAAACGACTTATTAACGTCACACATGAATTTCATAAGCGTAACCAGGCATGGAAAATCATTTGCATTCATTTCGTGCATTCATTTACATTCATTTGCCCCTAACTTTTTTTCATCAACAGAATTCCGCAAAATAGTCTATGGAACTTTAGTAGGTTTTATTATTAGCTACAACTTTTGTTAGCAACTCAAATCCGTATCTCTTATGTATGACGAACCAGAGCGAACAGAAGCCACTACTGTTTTTCAGTGAATGTATTTTACATTCACTGAAAAACAGTAACTACTTCTGCCCGTTCTAATTCGTGATGCATAAGAGATACAGATTTGAGTAATGGGCAAAAGTTGTAGCTAATAACATAACCTACAAAAGCTCTGTACATCATTTTGCGGAATACTGTTGACGAAAAAAGTTAGAGGCAAATGAATGTAAATGATTGCATGAAATGAATGTAAATGATTTTCCATGCCTGAGCGTGACTTATGAATGATTTTCGTTAAACATTAGATAGTTTTTATACAAGATTATAAATCAATGACTTATCTCGATGATGTCTAGAAATTCAAGGCACGCCTACGTAAACCAACATAACCGTCGGGTAGAGGAAGTCTTCCCCGAGTTGGTTTGCGTTGGCGAGACTTGGCTATCTAAAAGTCATCGAAAGTAATCATTGTTTTCAAAATCTGTTATACCCTTATTCCAACTCTATCTAGAATTCTACGTCGAATTACATATTGCATGACATATTTCTCAATAATGATTTTGAGAAATATGCAATTGAAAACTTACTCATTTTCGTTACATACCACATTTTCGATTTCGTAATGTGACCCCCAGTATAGTAAAGAAAGACGTAGTTCTACGTCAAAATGCGCAGGGACAAATCCTAAAAATCATTTAATTTGACCCCTAAAAATTTGTAACTATATTTTAAATAGAACAAAAATTACGCACAACCTTTAAATCTAAAACTAGAAGCCATTCCCGATCAAGTGGATATAAAACGTGATATGAACGGAAGCGGAACGGGGACGGCAAGTTGGGCAGTTGTCACAAATGACAGCAAGAGTCTAATTGAAGTAGATTTGGTTCTAACAAGTTTTCTATCCGACAAGCACGCAGCAAAAAGCTCCGAATTTTAACTGTCGCGTAAAATCTCATCCCGTTTAATATTGAGCTTAATTGCTTACAAGTTTGTATACAAGATTGCTGATTTATGCGATATTGTGCTTAAATTTACATGAAATGTCGTGTGAAATTACACGTGTGTGAAAGCAGAGTAACTTATTCGGCTAATTCTAAAACATAGGTTCTCTTAGGGTTACATGGTGATCTTCTTCATAACTATCGATAGTAATATGCACTTTATGTATTCTTCATTTTTTAATTATATTGATATTTCAGAATTTCTCCACGGAGTTCACATTCATTGGATGGGTTTATCTCTTCAATTTAAATTTGGCACAATTTTCATTCACTACTACAGGTTCAACGATTTCGATAAAATTCACCATTAGCATAAAACCACATCTATCCGATCAACACATCGAAAATATAGGATATCTTCCTCTCGAATAGGTCTCCCGTTCCACAGATAACACCCACAAAATATTTGGTTTATTTGTTCAGTTTTGTACATTGAATCCCCGCGTCACCATCTAAACCCCTCCCTCGATGCAATCGTCGATAACCTCGTGACTTCCGGTCGTCTTCGTTCCGCGCCGGAAGCCCAACAGTCATACGACCATATCGCGGCTCTGCGTCGCCGGTTGGCCCCCGTTGTAGCTCTCGCGGAACGGATGGTGCACCAGCTCCGGGAAGCACCGGCTCAGCTGACATTTGATGGCAAAAATCACGTCGTGGTTGGCGAAACAGAACAAACAGGAAACGCACGCACCCTGCAGGCTAATCAGCACCGCCGACACCACCTGATAGTAGCGTTCCAGCTCGCATCCCTTGTCCGGACGGAACGGCAGCAGGATGTGTTGCAGACCAAACAGCGGAATCTGATCGGAGGAAGGGTGTGAAAATGATCATTTATGTCAATACTTATGGGAATAGCACATGGATTACCAAAATCAGTGTCGCTCGAGTGGCTTTCTTCAGACCGAGCGGGGCCGGATTGGGCGAGGTGGAGTTCAGCTTGGTCAGCAGAACTCGGACCACGTTGACGAGGAACACGAGCGAGGTAATGAGTGAGAAGCACACCGGAATCGTCAGCAACCACATCGCGTGACTTTCGTTCATCCAGCAGCTGGTGGGATAAAGGAAAGGAAAAAAAAAATCAGAAACGGATGTGAGTAGTAGGACGTGTGTCAGCTGAGTGTTAATGGTGTATGCTCATTAGGACGACACGATGATGGGTGCGGTGGGCGTCTGCACTACATACGTGTGCTTATGCTTATAATCGGATAAATTTCCATTTCCGTCGAAGAAGCCAGCAGCAGCGGTAGCGAGCGAAGAGAACAATTTCATAATGTTTAATTTTCGCTGTGGAGCGAATGGATTTTTCAAGGGAGAAGGCAGAATTCAATATGCAAAAGGGTTGAAATGGGTGGAGAAGGCAACTTTTAACGATGAGAAGGCGGCAAAACGGAACGTTAATTTTTATATATGTACCTACATACTTTCCACTTTTGCGGTTTATAAGTTAACGTCGTTTAACCTTCTCGAGCTGGTTGTTTAAATATCCCACCTTACCATCGATCCTAAGTGGAACGTGGTACTTATTGGATTACACATCATTAAACCAATCTTATAAGGGTTTGCTGCTGCAGTGCATTAGTTTTCAGACTTCAAATTGAAATTATAATGTAGCTTCACCCACAGTGACCAACAGTTTGAAGTCTGTTTACTTTGGGAGTTATTTTCACGTCACTTAAAAGTACTCAAAACTATTGTCAATAACTTTCTTCTTTGGTTTTATTGTGTTCTTTGAGCACTTCCACAGTTGTTAAATGAGAGCTTTCTAAGAATTAGCACAGGGTAAGTGATAATTCCTGTTAGTAAAGTATATGGTCATACAAATGACAAGCTGATATGAACTTTAATTTTCAGTGTATTTCCTGTTTTTGTTATACCTAGAATATTTGTCTTGACTTTAGTCCAGTTCAAATCTTTAATCGTTGCCTTAATTATCAGCCTCAACTCAAATTTGGGCCGTTCTCATTCGCCGTGCTGGAGCAGTTTCAGATGAGAAATTTTTAGCCATTGATTTTCATAGCATATTTTCCTATGAGTAGTTCTTTGATGAGTAGTTCTTTTTTTGTTGTTAATTTTTAATAGACCAGTTGAAGGAAAAGCTCAGCCCTTTTGAACTACGCCTATGATATTGAGCAATTGTTAGATACAAGGCGAATGAGAACGACTCAAATTTGAGTTTTGTTCACTCATAATCGCCAAAAGTGCAGGAACTCGGCGATGAGTAAATTTGCCTCATGTTTTCCCAGGTTTTTCCAAGATTTTCCAGGGAAAAATTCTCGAATTTGAGAAAAGTAAAGATTGGATTCACTCAGTCTATTGGTACTACTCCGAGACTGAATAAAATTTTCGTCAATTTTCTGATTCGCGATTATGAGTGAACTAAACTCAAATTTGGGTCGTTCTCATTAGCCGTGTAGAGTTAGTGTGAAATAAAGAATGAGTAGAATCGAGTGAGCGTGAAGCGTGATAGACCGTATCAAGAGCCACATGTGAAAAGGGCATACAAGCGTTTTGTAAAAAACCTCTCTCCCTTTTTAAACAAACTTTTGTAGGCCATTTTCTTGCCAACCGAGGATCGCCCACGCAAACCAAACAACATCACTGCGAAGGGGAAAGTTTCCCCTATTCGGTGATGTAGATGGTTTGCATTAGTGTCATATGGGTAGCGAGAAAAGGGCATAAGAAGGTTTGTTTACAAAAAACTTCTATGCCCTTTCACATGTTGTTCTTGGTATGTAAACGAAATTTCATTGGTTCAAGAATTTTGATAGGTTAATACTCCGAATACGATGCCTCCGAAAAACGTGTAACGGCAAGTTTGCAATGACATAACTTAGCCATTTCTGAATGAATTTCAAAAATTTTGGTGCCTTTAGAATTCCTAGGGTTTGTAGATGATTTTGATTGTAAAAAGATTGAAAATAGAGTCGTCTACTTTTTTAAAAAAGCGAAAAGAGTTTTTAAACGTTTTTTTGAAAGGTGTGTTTGTAGGGTTTTGCAAGTGGCGCAAGATCTGTAATTTAGATTAATGGGCACAAATGCTCACAATTAGCCAGAATACAGTCATGGTTCCTAAATATAGATGCTGGAGACAACGGAACGGTCTCCGAAAAATCCGGAACATCCGTAAAAGTGATCAATCCATGAACCTGATCCTAGAGCTCTGCGGTTTTTTTTTTAAACATTAGGAACTGTGATATAAAAAAATATTTGGGGTCGCAACATAAACATGTACCTGGATGGCCATGGGACCGTCCTCCGGAAGATCCGGAACATCTGTAAAAGTGGACAATCCATGAAACTGATCATAGAGCTCCGCGTTTTTTTTTAACATTAGGATCTGTGATATAAGAATGAATGTGGGTCATGGACCCAGATGGCCATCGGACCGTCCAACGGAAGATCCGGAACATCCCTAAAAGTGGTAAATCCACGATCCTGATCCAAGAGCTACGCGTTTTTTCTTAAACATTAGGAACTGTGATGATAGAAAGAATTAGGGGTTGTGACATAAACATGAACGGAATATCCGCAACATCCGTAAAAGTGGAAAATTCACGAAACTGATCCTAGAGCTCCGTGGTTTTCTTGAAAACGTTAGGAACTGTGATATTAGAATGAATTTGGGATCGTGACATAAACATGGACCCAAATGGCCATCGGACCGTCCTCCGGAAGATCCGAAAAATCCGTAAAAGTGGTCAATGTATGAAACTAATCCTAGAGCTCCAAGGTTTTTTCGAAAACACTTGGAACTGTCATATATAAATTATTTTGCGGTCGTGACATAAACATGTACCAAGAAGGCCATCGGACCGTCCTCCGGAAGATCTTGGACATCTTTAAAAATGGTCAATCCTCGAAACAGATCCTAGAGTTCTACGGTTTTTTCGAAAGCATGTGGAACTGCAATATAAGAAAGAATTTGGGGTCATGACATAAACATGGACCTAAATAATCATGGGGCCATCCTCTGGTAAGTCCAGAACATTCAGAATATCCGGAACTTCAAGGATGCTATAATTTTGCTTTGATTAAAGGTTTTCTCAGTCTTATAACACTGCAATGACTACGATGTAATCTGCCCGACATTTTGTCCATGGATTGTGGTTTTTTGTTTCAAGGGAAAATATTGTTTGTCGTTATTGTCAATAGTTTAGTCGTTGTTGTGGCTGATTTTCCATATTTTGGTTTTATTTAATGATTGCAATTCCATTTCACAGAACGAACTTTGGATTCAATAATTGTTTTAATTCTTGTTTGCGTTCCTTTAATGATGTTTGTAGCGAGTTTGATTTTATTTTGACCAAACATGTGTTTAGTGCTAGAATAAGGCGTTTAGATTAAATTAGGTTTTAAGTAATGAGTCTGTACGACGTAGTCGAAGATGGTGATCAAATAAATAAATATTCAATTGAAAAAACTACTTGGTCGCAATTTTGATCACCACTTGAGGACAACGATAATTTTAAAAATTAGATTAAACAAAAATTAAAGAGTGTTTTAAGGCTGAGAAAGCCGTTAAATAAGTCCCAGTCGTCACCATCGTTAAAATGTTTGCTTTCAAAAACGGCAAAAATATAAAATTAGTTAAATAGTAAATACCGATAAATACCAATTTTTTAATACCTTTGATACCGATAAGCTTTAAAACAATCTGGCAACGCTGCACAGTGGTGCCAAGGGTATCAAAACACGCGCTTTTTTATTTACGCTGAAATGGTTGATTAAAGGTACTAGGTGTCTTCTGAGAAGTTTCTCGGGTAACAACACTCCTTCTTATGGTAAAAGAAAATTAAAGATTAATCCACCTAAAAGTGAGATGGAAAATTATTTTTTTCAATATGATGAGATACAAATTAATTGTGTTCGGAAAAGCTGTAGAGAACATTACTGTGCACAACTTTGCTCAAGACTATAACTTTCTAGTTCTTATAACTGATGAGATATAAAGGTTTTTTTTGTGGAGACATCGTTAAAATCAATTTTGTGCTTGTAACTTTTTCTACAATTTTTCTACATGTTTCGCATGTTGTACAAAGATGTTAGAAATATCAAAATACATATCTTTTCACAAGACTGCAAATTGCTATCATTATTATTTGAAAAGTTATTTACATTTTTGGTTGAAAATTACCCAACTTCCAATATCAATAACTTCTAAACGGGCAAAAACGAGCAGGCCATTTTTTGAGCAATTGAAAGTACAAGAAAATGCAATAAAATGGTGAAGAAACCAGACCGCCCCCACGTGATCCTAACCGAAATACTTGCATTGAAACTTGTCACTTTTCAGAATTTAAAATGGCGATTTTGTGAAACCACGGGACTGTTATCGAGTAGGTGTGAAAAGAGGCATACAAATGGATAACCAAGCAACCTGGGTTATTTCTAGTGACTAACAAAATGACTCGGTGTCAAAACCAGACCACCCCCACATGACCCTTGACTGAATCGTTTATGTACTTTACATATTTTCGATTTGTCATCTGTGATGGCCAAAAGTTACAGAGCATCCCCGAAGCACACCTCACTTTTGTTTTTCGGTAGTTCTCTCATGTTGGAAATTAACGTCATGTAATAAATAATATGAATACTTGGATAAATGTGTATTCAACTAATAACTCTTATAGTATCATCAGGCTACGAAATTAACTGCGAGAGGTTCGAAAGCTACGGAATAGAAACGGCTCGTAAACTAGTCGATCAATATCCATGGTACTATCTCCCCGTGTTTGTTCATAAAGTGCTCATACACGGGGCGAATGTGATTTCTTCTTTTCTAATACCCATTGGGCAACTATCTGAAGAGGCCCAGAAAAGCAAAAAACAAAGCTACCAAGCAATACAGAACCCACCACACAAGAAAGTTTTCCAGAGAATGCTCTGCAACTTTTGGCCATCACAGATGACAACAGCGAGAACAGCGATATCGACGAAGAGGAAACTGCAAGCGCTCTTTGAGATTTGTACAATTTGAATCGGAACGTAATAAACATTAAACATTAATGATTTTGGTATTGTTTATTGACAAAATCGAAAAATATGTAA